TGTTAAAATTCGGCGCTGCACAAAATCCTGGCTTTTATATTTTCCAACAAAATACCACTTCGCAACCCTGGATTTTCACGAAGCGTTTCATTCGGGTCGTAGTTTTGCTACTTCGGGTTGCATTCGGTGTTGTATGCCATATTGGCTGCCATATTGTTCACACTGTCATCGCCATATTGAACACCCTGTCAACTATCTGTCAACCCTAAGATATCTCACTTGTATTCTTCCACAATGGACAGAGAGTTGCAACAATTTTTATTTTTTCCAGTTTAAATTTTTATTTTTTTTTGTGTTTCACATGGCACGCTTTGATTTAGAACAAAGAAAATCAGAACACTTTTGATACCAGAAGCAACCACAAAATACACGCAAATCCATATGTTTCTCCACAAATGTCGACAAGTACAACTGTTAGGCATTTAAGGGAATTTTGTATTATTTTAGCCCATATTGAATTCCTGTAGACCCACGGTACTCACCCATTTTGTCTTGCTGTACTATACTATACAGCTACAAGGACTCAACATCCAACTGGAGCATTGTTATCGGCAGCGAATGAAGAACAAAACTCTCTTCAAATTTAAAAGAAAAACTTTCACTACTAAGTATTTAAAAATGTACTTAAAAATTGCAAAGCAATTTCGAAAAAAATATCATTGTTTTTATTCCTAGGAGTAAGGTGGGATCGCAGCTGATAAAATCCTCATTTTTGAATGATGGCAAGGAAGAAAATTATTGACATCGTCATGGAAAAAAAATTCTCAAAAATCAGCGGTGTAAGTCCCCTGCAAACCAAAGTTCCCGAAATCTTAACGAAATCTTTAGGAGTATCTCATTTCTGTAACGATTTTTTTACGAATCGTAAAGAAATTTCTCTACGAAAAATAAAGAAAATTCTGAAAAAATATGCAAGAAATTCTTCACATACCACCATTATTTTCATGGCTTTAGCGATTTTCTTCCGAAATTTCGTAAAAGAATCGAAGTGTGGTGCACAGTTTATTTCATTTTAGAAAATTCGGCAAAGAATCGGATTATATCTTTGCGAGTTCTTTAAAATTTCTCTACAATTCAGAGTACTCTGAAAAAATTGTTTACAGGGTCCTAGCTATTTCAAACTTTCACTATGGTTTATCAAAATGGAATTGGCTACGAAACTGCATACCCAAAATATATCTAAGAAATTAAAAGTTTGTTGTGTTCTTTTTTTTTAATATTGCTTAAAGATTGAAGCTTGAATTTATACGGATTTTGTTAAAGAATAATGTAGGTATATTTTTATAAAAATTTACTAAAATTAGGAAATCATAAAATAAATAGTCAAAACTGGTCGGATGAGAGTGTCGTAAGTCCTTGAAAATAACGCTAACTTTCTGTACCGTAGCGGTATAATACTTATTCGACTTAGTAGCTGGTTTCAAATTTTAATTTATGTGCAGCGATTTTCGATACCCTGCAAGGTAGCAAGGAAGTAATTTTATCGTTTAATTCATCTTTATAATCCTGCCTATTTTGTATACATACAGTTGTCCACAAAATAATAGGAGTGCGATATTTTGACCAGTTTTGGCTATTTGTCTTTTGTTTATTTAATGTTAATTTTTTTTTATAAAAGCCCTGCTGGCTATACAACAAACACCATATAAATTCAGATTTTAAACTTTGTATAAAAATTATAAAAATTTTGCAATTTTTCATCCAAATTTCAAACTTTTTAATCAGAATCTTTAGAAAAAATTCTGGTATGCAGTTTTGTAGCACATTCAATTCTAGTCTGAAGAAGTGCAAGTTTCAAGCGGCTAAAAAATTCCGTTGATTTTTGAGAATTTTTTTGGTTAAAGGTGTTTCAGGCTTTTCCATACAAAGTATGTCGACAATTTTCTTTTATATGGAGGACACTGCCAGCAAAAAAATTGCCAAAAATCAACGGAATTTTTTAACCGCTTGAAACTTGCACTTCTTCAGACTAGAATTGAATGTGCTACAAAACTGCATACCAGAATTTTTTCTAAAGATTCTGATTAAAAAGTTTGAAATTTGGATGAAAAATTGCAAAATTTTTATAATTTTTATACAAAGTTTAAAATCTGAATTTATATGGTGTTTGTTGTATAGCCAGCTAGGCTTTTATAAAAAAATAATAAACATTAAATAAACAAAAGACAAATAGCCAAAACTGGTCAAAATATCGCACTCCTATTATTTTGTGGACAACTGTAAGTATTATATGAGCCGTTTATTTTGAAAGTGGCATAAGTCACTTCATACCTCTTGTACTTAAATGACCGGTTAAATCGTTCTATCACAAAAAGTTTCCCCTTTGATAAATGCAGTCGAAGGAATAACTGTCGCGTTTAGATCCAAGTAACCAGTTATTTAAGAACAAGAGCTGTGAAGTGACTTATGCCACTTTCAAAACATTAACAGGCTCATAAATTTACAACTGATTGGTGCAACCGGGCATGAAGATTATAAACTGTAAAACAACTTAATATTCATTGGCTATATAAGTTCTTCTAACATCTAGGTATAGTTTTTAATTTACAAATTTATTGTTTTACCCACGAGTGTTTTGCTCATGAGGGTCGTTATTTTAGTGTTAGTACTTAGAACCAAATATTAATAATATATGCTTTACATACATATGTACATAATAAATTTAAATAAATAATATACACAAATACAGTAAGCGAAATGAAGAATTAAGCGCATTGCAACAGGCCAACAGTTAATATAAACGCATAGAAGCATAAAAAGCTCATACAAACATGACAAACCATTTGATATGTACAAAAAACAACGAAATAAATTGTATATCTATTAAGTTTTTTTTTTCACAAGAAAAGATAAAAAGCTTAGTACATAAGAAATGTTCGGAAAATCTGTTTTAAATAAATTTTAGTAAACATATAAATTCTAAAATGCGCCAATCAAGTTGGCTATAAACAAAACTAAAGTATATAACATAGAACAAGTCAACAGTTGTAGGAAGACGGGACGCAGGACAACACTTTTGCATAACTTTAAAGCTAGGACAGGGACACATAAAGGCAGCCAGGTATGCATATGTGTATGCATGTATTAAAATACGACTAAGAGGCAACTTGCAACAGGCACAAATAAATTATAAACGAAACAGGATGTGAACTATACAGGACCAGTGTGGGAGAGGGGGACAGAAGACGTGTAACAAAAAGCATGGTGAAGGCATGCTCATGTCCAGGGGTGGTGAGTGGAGTGGCGAAAGCAGTGTATTTACGAGCATACATACATCAGTTGCATGTTTACAGAATGTTCCATATTGTGGCTAGGTTTTGCGAAAGATTATTTTCTATGTAACTGAGGCTGGTTTTGCTAAATTCAAATTTTTATACATATATATATTTTTTAATATTCATTATTTGAATCTAATTAGTCGAACTTAGCAAAAAATCCAACCAAAATCGAAATTAAAATTTCAACGCACACGCAAAAATGTGTAAGAACTATTTAGACAGACAAAACAAAGACATTAAAATATAAACGCTAGTATTAAATATATATGTATGTACATACACTAGGCGACAAATGAAAGTGTACGCCTTGTTCTAATATAATATTTACAATTATTTTCATAAAAAATTTTTTGCGCTAATTATTTTTGAATAAATAGTTCATGAGCTACAAAACTCCATACTCGAAAATTTTCTAGAAATTCTGAATAAAAAGTTGAATATTGTTTGAATTTTTGTGAACTTTACATAAAGCGTGAACCTTCGATTTACATGGTTTACATTGTAGAATGAACTATATTTTCATAAATAATTAATGCAAACATTTTTTCATGAAAATATTGTAAATATTTAGTTAGAACAAGGTGTACACTTTCTTTTTTCGCCTAGTGTATGTACAAAATTGTGCGTATAATTGCCGAGAGAGAGAGAGAGAGATAGAGACAGAGCAATGTAGTATAGAGTTAACGATGTGGGGAAGTACTGTGCATTTCGTTGTTTTTGTTGTTGTTAACCTGGATAGAAACTGTAGTAAAATTCTTTCCAATCGTCCAGCCACACTTCAACCAGACGCGCATTATTATGATTGACAATTTCCGTTGTGCCACCGGGGAAGGTATACGGCGTCGATTTACGAAACACGTGACCCACACGTGAACAGGGCGCAATCTCGAGCACACCACCGCACATCCAAACCTAAGCGCACGACGAAATCGAGCAAAATAACCAACCAACCAACGAAACGAATTTCAAGAAGCGTCGACACGGATGCGCATGCGTGAACGTGTGGGCAGTTGTTGTTGTTGCAAGTGAACGTAATTACGTTGGTTGTTTTTATTTCGTTGAGCGATTTGTGTTTTTTATATTTTTTCGTTATGTTTATTTAGAAAATAAAACTTTTAATGGGTATTGTTGTTGTAGTGTTTGCAGTTGTTGCATTGTTGTTAGCACCGTAATTAATGTTATTATTTTATTAGCCCCAACATAGTAGTAGCAATACACGTTAATTAGTTACGCATTTGGTTAAGCAATTAACATTGGAAGAGGCGAGGGAGACGCGAATGAGCGAGCGAGTGAAAAAAGAGAAAAAAAACATAAATGATAAAGAATATTTAGACATTTTCTATTCAACGTTATTATTATATGTATGTATGCAGGCAACTAATTATGTTTACATTGGTAAAAGCTTAAACTACTGTTTTATTGTTCAATGTTGTAAAAATTATTCAATCAATTTTTACTCGAATGGCCAACCAATAATTTATAATGCGGCTGACGTACTACTTGTATCAGATGCAAAAAAAAATACAAATAGAATTGATGTAAAATATGCATAACATATTAGGCGCAAGAAAAGTGGGGTTATCAGCTGCTACGACTTTTTTGTTTCAGTTCCGTAAACCAAAGCGTACTTTGTAGCTTTTTACTATTACCTTATGGGATCATACGTTAAAAAACACTTGTCTTTTGTTATGTTAGGATTTGCAATTAAAAAAAAAAACGGAAAAATTGCTTCTATATCACGTTTTTTATTCCTTTATTCACTTAACCTATGAAAAAAAAAATCATAAATAAAATAAACATTTCGGGGATACAGTTTGGTAGCTCATTCAATTTTAGTATAACAAAGTGCAAGTTTCAAGTGGTTACAAAATACCGTTGATTTTTGACAATTTTTTTTTTTGTTGACAGTGTCATGCATTTTCTTCCATACAAAGTATGCTCGACAAAATTTTTATATAGAAGAAAATGCGCAGAACCATCAAAAAAAAAAAAATTGTCGACAATCAACGGTATTTTGTAGCCACTTTAAACTTGCACTTTATTATATTAAAGCTACAAATTGCATACCCGAAAGTTTTCTAAAAATATTATAACCGTATGCACAGCAGGTCATTAGCATAGCATTTGTTGACATGTCTTTAAAATTTGCATACAATTTTTAAATCAAATTTACACGTAGAATACGCTACATTTTTATAAAAAACTTATGAATATTAAACAAACAAAATGGAAAATGTACATACTGAGGATCAAAGGCTGTGCTATTCAAATGACTGGAAGTGTATTTTTCATGATTGTATTATGATGTGTCATGAAAATTGTATTATTGCAACGGGCTCTAACTGGCTAGGTTAGAGTAAAAAGTTGCTTAGTCAATTTTATCAAATTTTATAGGAGAAAATAAAAACCTTTCAAACTCGTTTGCTTCGAGCCCTTACTTTGCAAAATTTTAATACAAGATTTCGCTTATTCCAAGATAAAACACTCTAAAAGAATCAAATTACACAAAGTTTAATAATAGTTTTAGCACACTGTAGGACTTACCAAATTTTCTGTAACTATTGTGGACTTAATAAATTTGCGTACCACTGAAAGAAGCGGTGAGAAATAAACGGAACGATGTATTTTTAATTGTTCTGCTTCATGTACAAAATATATTTTTTTTAGTAAAGTGGACTTAGCAACTTTTCACCCTAAGCTAGCATTATAGTTTCTTTTTTATGGTTGATGCTTCCGAGCGGCACTAAATAAGTCTTCAGATTTCGCAACAATAATGCCATTTGAGTAGAGCCAACGTTTGCTTCGTAAGATTTAACATTTTTTAGCATAAACGCACTGAGAACGTTTTAGGGCCAATTTCAGATGATTATTTAAAAGGCACTTAAGTTTAATTTTGGCGTGCAGTTTTATAGCCCATATATTTTAGTATAATGACGTGCAAGTTTCAAGCGAGTAAAAATTGGGGTTGATTTTTAATAATGTATTTTGCTGACAGCTTTTTGCATTTTTTTTTCAATAAATATGATTTTCTTACGCAAAAAATTGTGCGAGACCGTTAGCAACACCAAAAAAATTAGAAAAAAATCAACGCCAGTTTTCATAAGTTATTGCACTTGTTATATGCACACAACTCGCAAAAGACCGGCGGTTAAAAAAATTATTTAAAATCAACGCATATTCTTAGCTGCTTCAAACAGCATTAAGTTACACGAAAATGGTATGAGCTATAAAACCGCATACCCAAACGTTTTTTAAACATTCAGATAGAAAAGTTAGAAAATTTGATTAAAATTTGTTACTTTTTCTAAATTTTGTGCGCGCTCCTATCCCACATACAATATTGCATGAACTTTTTATTGTTAGAAATCTTGAAATACAAAAAGACGTAACAAACATCGTCGTTGAATATAAAAAGTCGTAACTAATATAAAATTCAAAATTCAGTATTTGATTGATATATCGGATTTCATCGAATTACAACTCCTAAATCATTTTATGAAAAAAATAAAAAAAAAATAGTCACGACTTTTTCCATTTCAGTTACGATGTTGTTACGTCTTTTTGCATTTCAGGTGACGATATGTACTAGGGATGTCAATCCCGGCATTACGGGATTTCGGGATCCCGGTCTTTTTTAAGTCCCGAATATCTCGGGATTAGACGATTTAAATCCCGGGATTGCTGGAAACAATTTTTTTGTTAGCCAATTAAATTTTTATCACAAATATCCCCTCAAGGGCAAATTAAGAATATTTTGCAACCCTTAATGCTATAATTTCTTTAAGATCGCATTACCATCAAAAGAAGGAATAATTTTGCTTCGCTCGAAATGGAATAGTGATCAACTTATATATTTATTGTTTACTTAAATGTGTTAACTTTTTTATTATTACTTAAATATACTGATATCTTAAATTGATCTCAAAAAGTGATTCAAAAAATTTGTATAGTTACATAGGCAGTTACTGCTGTACCAAATACAGTCACTTACAAAAATATTTTGCATCAACTTTTTTGCAATATTCAAAATATTTTTCATGGTATTTTTTTGTTAATTAAAAAAATATATAGCTCATTTTACAACAAAAATCATGTGAATCAAAATTTCACACTTTAGAGAAAGTTGGTTTAAGTTCACCAAATTATCATAAAAATATCAAACTATTTAATCATAATTTTTACAAAAAATTCTATTATGCAGATTAATAGCCCATTCAATTTAATACAATAAAGTGCAATTTTAAAGTTACTAAAAACTCCCTTGATTTTTGAATTTTTTTTACTGACGATGTTGGGCATTTTCTTCCTTATCACGAATTTTTTTGTAGCAAAAAAAAAATGTCAACGGGATGCTTTCGCAGCTTCAAAATTGCACATACATATATATTTTTTTTAAATTAACAAAAAAAAATACCATGAAAAATATTCTGAATATTGCAAAAAAAAATCTATGCAAAATATTTCTGTGAGTGACCGTATATGCCTTTGTACTTGTAGTACAAAAACTATGTTATAAATTAATGAGGATATGTACATACATACATATATGTTTGTCAAATTTTATGTTTGTTTTTTGTTGATTGAAAATACTGATTTATCGCCTTAATAAATATGTAAATGAATTACAATAAATTATACTTTTTTTGTTATAACAATCTGATTTAAAATACTATAATAGGATGATCACAGATGTGTTGCACTTTTGCTGAATTACGGGACAATCCCGGGATCTAGATAGATCTACCTCTTTTTATTTTAAATTGCCCAGAATTTTGCTTTTAGCCCCTAGTTCTCTTTTAGCCCTTTTAAATTTTAAACAGCCCTTTAAGGCTCCAAAATGCTTAACTTAATTTTCCTTATCCTTACTTATCTTTTAATTCCTTATCTTTTAATTTATAGTCCTGAAACTCAAAAAGTGCTATTCCGATTTACAAAAAAATATATCAATGCAATCAGGCTAAATATATCTTTCGAAAGGTATCCAAAGAAGATTAGTTCATTCGCTTTTCTGGAGGTTTTTTATAACTTGAAAACGATTCTTTCGGAAAGTAAATGAGATACATATGAAGGGGTTATAGCCCGAACACAATGAAAACGACGAGCTACAAACCACAGCTGTCAAATTATTTTAACACGTACTCTTATGTAGATAATTATTTTGGCGACGACCGGGCTACGCGACGGCTGTGGTTGTGGCCAGATTAGATCTATTTCTATTTTTCTGGCGACAGATAAGGTTCTTCCTCTTCTTTTATGTCAAACTGATACAAATTCATGATGTCGCTGCCGCGTTCAAAGAAATCATGTCGCCATCGACAAAGCGTTTAGATAATGAAGATGACAAACTGGAAGCTGTGGTCCGTAGCTCGTCGTTTTCAATGTGTTCAGAACTTTAGGATCATACGCAGGCATAGGCAGAGACTTAAAGCCTGATTATGGCAACTTAACTTAACTTGACGGAACGTAGACCTTAGAGAATTAAAATGAAACAGATTTCGACGTGGCATTAAGTTACGTTAAGTTTCGGCTGTTCAATTATAAGCAACACTCATTTAACAGAATTTTTAAGAGAGAGCCGTAAGTTACGTTAAGTTGCCATAATCAAACCATTAGCAGGTGCTGAAAGAACGTAAGCATCGCGTGTATGTATACAAGCGAGAGCGTAAGGTGAGAACGCGACAGCAAGCAAAATGAATTGGATACACTGACACATTCGCACTTTCAGCTCACGCTTGTGTGTGGTAGTGCCTACCTCTGATCATAAGGGTCTAAGTGACATTTTTTGAAAATATAAGTTATACCCATATTTGTATAGTTAAATATAGTATTTATTTGGTGACAACGAGTGAACATTTTTAGAATTATTTCAAATGAATTTACCCAGAATTTACAATAAGTAATGAACTTTAACT